CTTCTCGTCTATGACAATAGAAACATTCTCATTTGATCAGTTGGATTTATAATGAATATTCAAAAAACTTAGTCCTATTCATGTATACTACAATTACATTATTCATTAGAATGTTTGAAATTTCGGAAGCTACGACACAAAGTCGATGTACAGTTTTCTATTACTGTCTCAATCATTAGATCCACTTTTCTTCAAAAGAATTTATTGTTTCGATATCAAGAATAAATGATTAAAAGAGTGTAATAGATTTACAAGAAGACAATATTCGACAACATGTAAAAACTTGGTCTGAATAAAGTCAATCGTAACTGTTTGCACAACAAGAACGATGAGCTTAATTCATCAATGAGTTACGGGCAACTGTTCTTATGGTTGGAACAATCGTTTGTCGACGATGACCACAAAGAAATAGACTTCTTAATTTGTCTTTAAGATCAGGTAATGACGGTAGAATAGCGAATGGTAAGAGAATAGCGATACAATACGTAAGTGGATCGAAATAATTTCTTCTTAGGTTTGCTCCGACTTCTGGAAAACCTGACCAACCGATAAGAACGACAATAATGTATGGGAATGCAAAGACAACATGAATACATGTAACGAAGATGAGTTGTATAGTCATTTTTCGAAACTGACGCCATTGTATATTTCGTCGAACGCGTTGTTTTTGTCGTACAACACGAAACAATAAAAGACCACTGAAGATAGCAATAAAAAATATTGGAAAAATTTGATGAGCGAACGATTCATAATACAATAGTGCTGCCTCACCTTCGCGTAGGTAACATGGACGTCCACAAAATGAACGCGTAGGATAAGGAGTTTTGTCACATGGATAGAAGAAGATCACATAAATGTAATATATACCTGTATATATGATTAGAATTGTAATAGGCAAGTAATGAAACAAAAGTCGTCGACGGAAACTATGAACCAAGTGTGGCGAAAAGATGAGAATATGTCGTTCGATCGATGTCCATAAAACGAGAAGAATGCCTAAATTATAACACGCGTAGTCAATGTACTGCCAAGTGAAACAGGCACCAGCTGTTGCTGGACTAATGACTCCGCGTTGATAATAGTTGACCATCATCCCCAGATCAAAGGTAATAATCAGAAAGTTTGCGATCATCACAATAAATATGACATGATTGTATACCAATCGTCGAGCTCCTTGTGTTGCGACAAGATGATATAAAATAAACAGATAGCAAGGAAGTGACACTATCTGACCAGCAAGAAGTATGTACGCTTTAATCATCCGTGACAAGACACTCTCGCGTATGTAACTGCTAACACTCGACGTACTGATATTGAATGTAGTAATATTTGATGACATGGCAATGAAAGAGAGATTTAAACTAATTTTATATATAGACCAGTTTGCTTTCAAATATCACTTTGTAAATAGACGATGCAATACACAAATTATTGCTTGTTTTTGTTTGTCGGCTGTTGCTCAGATTAGACGTGTAGTAAAATATTGAAGTTATCGTCTGAAATATAAATCAAATCGCTTATGGCAATTAAAAAACATAATTTTTTGTAGAAAACTCATTATAATGATAAAAATTAGCTTTGAGTATAGTGACGTCATATGAATACTTAAACATGTCCTCGAAACATGTTTTCCTGCTATGTTGTCCTTCTAGTTCTTAATAACATTTTTTTCTAATATTTCTATAATATAATGACGCCAAATAAGAGATCAACAAGTATTAATTTTCTAATAGCTTGAAGAAAAATGTGTCAACAGCAAAACTGCAGAATCTGCCATAAAAATAAATTTCTCCTACCGTTAAAATTTTTTCGAGGAATTTCCCCGGCTAGAAAAATCAAGAAAAAAATGGCTTTCTGTGGATTCTATATCTATACACCAAGGGTATCGAAAAAGACCTACTTAAAACAAATAGCGTGATTTAAAAAAACAATTCGTTCTATTAATCATCGATTGATTCTCGTAATCTTGGTGCTTGGTTTTTTTTCTCAAATGTTTTAGTATAACAGAGTCAGACGATATAAGTTTCCATGTTTGATATTGTTCACTCTTTTTTATAAAATAACCAATTTTTCTCCTTCTTACTGCTAAAGTATGACAGAATAATGATATGACAAGAAAGAAAGGTTAAAAGAATATCAAGAAGCAAGATAGTCACTATAATTAAATAAGCAACAAGCAAATCAGAGAAAGCATCTAGCAAGCTCGTGTAATTACTCCCTCACCATTACATCATCAACATCAGAACAAAATAACGAATGAAGCATCATACCAGAACAACAGAGAGCGAGATATATCTAATACACATACCACTCACCCGCGCAGAGCAACAAAACAGAACGTATGGAACTGAGAGAAAGAGAAACAGAACAAAAAGAAAGAGACAGCTAATAACACAAAAGCAGGAAGCTCATAGGTGAAGAGATCACAACTTGTGATATTTTTCGCATGAGAAAAAGTTATTTTTTCGAAACGTTACTTGACTCCAAAAATTTCTCCTCCCTCTCCCCCTCCTGCACGTTACCGCACACGGGTAGATTTTGCATCTCTGGTCAACACAAGAAGAGAATTGCGTAGGAAACATTTTTTCAATTAGTATAAAAATACTCGGTCGTTTCTAGACATAAATACTAGTACAGATGACATTTCCATGAAAGTTTTTGAGATCAGGATTTAGTCTTTTTATATTAGAATAAAATGTTGTTCTTTCAAAACTAAAAGGAAATATTTTGAGTGGAAAGAATGCTAATAAAAAGAAGTAGACAGTAAGAGAAAAAAAGACAATGACGCGTTTTTTTGACTTATAATTTCCGTTGTTCCTCGGAATGCCATTACTGTCATTGAATTGGTGTTGCTTTATTACTGCTGACGTTGTTGTCTCCTCATTCTTAGGATTACAAATCGAATTGCAATGACAAATTTCTTCTGAATTCAAGAAGATAAGTTTGTCAATTAACATAATTCTCAAAACAACTTAACTTTTGTATCACTAATTTAGTAGAGTAACCAAAAAAAGCAAGCAGAAAAAAGAAAGTTCTATTAGAAGACAAAGATAGCTTAGTTACTAAATTTGTATGGAACATATGGAAGTTTCTTTTATACAAATTTGAATATTAATTTTCAAAATCTAAGAAAAAGTTTCGTTTATTCAATAGATTAAATTGAAATCAACCTGAAAATTGTTTTTCTGACAAATGACTTACCACAAAGATGTACATCTCTGATTTATATCAAGATGTCATTAATTCATATACAAAAGTTACGGGTTAAATCTTGATGTACATTTTGTTTTAGATCGGCATAGAAAAAGTCAGTTCCTCAGGTTATGAATAGTTTGACACGTTCAATATATTACCATCTCTCATGTATTTCGAAAAGTAATCGAAAGGTTTTCCAGTAGAAGCTCATGTCTCTTTGAAAAGTGCTTTGTAAAAAAAAAAGAGTGGCTTTTATCATACTTATAGCTAAATTGCTGACGTTAGAAAGACGAGATACTCTCATCATACTACTATTTGTGATAGAGAATGAATAAAAGACAGCTTACAATTAATTGCCTTTTTTTTTCTTCGCTTTTCATTAATGACTTAAAGCTATCTTCTATTAAAATATTTCCATTGAAGAGAAGTTTCTAGAAAAAATGAAGATAATAAAATATTTCCATGCAATTAAATTTAACACAAGCAATCCTACTTGTAGCATTTTAAAACATCAACATTGTTGGTTGCAAAAGCTAATAATTGTTTACGCTCCATGTTAAGTGCGAATAAGAGAGATGATATTAGAGTAAATATGTTGATATTAAATATCTTCTGTAATTATTTTAATTGAGAGAAGTCTTAAAGATAAGATGCTTTGCAAATACGAAGATTAGTGGATTGAATAATAGTATAGATAAATGGATGTAGGAACACAGTTCCAATGATCTTGCATCTATTAGATCATGTGTTTGTTCAAAAAAATGCGCTGTTTTTTTTTAATTCGAGTTTACACGATTATTTCCACTGTTGGTCTATCACCATCCATAATATACATCAGCAATAGATTTTTGAAATTATGAAGAATATGTCATTCAATTCCAGATAATGGCTTGCCAAGTCTTATCGTGAGAATGAATAGAAAATCTGTTGTCTTACGGATTTCTAAATTTGATATGTCCTCTTTGACCTTCAATTATCTCATCTTGTGAAAACAACAGAATGAGAAAAAATTCTTCTCCTCTCTCTGTATATCTTTGTTGAAAGAATTCATTTTGAACAAGAGACGAACTAGTTTGATAATGTTGTCTTCTATAACTTAGTTTAGTTAAAATGATGATCTGAAATGTTTGAAAAAAATAATCTTATCATTTCGATGTTCTGAGAGAAAAAGATCGATTAATGATAATGATAATGGAAACCTGTCTGTAGAGAATAAATATTTCTCATACGATCCATGTCAATAACTATTAGTGTAATACTAAATTAAGTTTTTTATTTATATTCTCGAATAAGAATAACATATTCAAATCTATGTTGTTATAGACGATTCATATGTCTGATAAGGCTATATATACACAATTCTTGTGTAAGAATAATGTGTGCATTCTCATCTTAGAACTTGATATGATCAATCGAATTTGAAGTTAAATAATGACTTATAGCAGTCAGTAAAATTCAGACTTGTTGTGTATAAAACGGCAATCTAAACTTTTTCAATAAGTTATCTAATTTTACTGCGTGTACTATGGCACAATACCTTTCAATGATAAAATATAAATCCATAGATTTTTCGATGTACAAATGTTTTTTCTTCAAGTATTAGAAAACTAGATAAAAATCTAGATTAAATGTTTTACTTTGAGTATTTTAATTGTATGAAAAGTGATGAAAGAAGCGCCACGCGTGCATAGATATACAATTCATTTATTTATGACAAAATTTGTAAGAGTATTGCATAAAATTTTTCTAGTCAAACACAAACATAGAACTTGCTTCACTTCTTTTCTTATCGACATAAATATATATTATTTTTCCTTATCAATCCATATATTAATATGAGAGATATTATATAAATTTCGATTGATTGAATATGCACATGTAGACGATAAATGTTCGCGTAACCATTCAATTAAATCCTCATTTATTTCTGATAATTCGTATGGATTCATTTTATCATTTTTACAACGAATATTCAATGTACGAAGTTTAGGCATAGTATTAATGAACTCGAGAATGTTAGTTCGATTTTCGATACCTATCATAAGAACTTCGCATTGAGAATCAAGTGATGAATTAGCTAACATAGTACATTCTATACTGTTAAAATATCGTAAACGATATCTGAAATTTTGAAAAAAATCCAGTCGATGAATTGATGGACTGATAACCTAAATCTTGATTTAATATTGCATCAAGACAGATCAAGTGATTAAGTACTGGAATTAAGAGGTGAGAGATCGTCATTAAATGGACATTTGATTTTGAGATAACGAATGTTACGAAATCGAACAGGAAACAGAATTCAATTTTTGTTAAAATCTCTTTGGCGATTAGTATGATAAAGGGTTTGCACTCGATCATACGATGAAACATCCACGTCATTTGGATCAGTCGATTTCGATCGACTACCATCTACATAATAGAATGTATCAAAAGCATATGGCAATGTATATAGAACACAAATTGGTTAATCTTTGAAAAAGATTCTTCATCCATTCTACTGAATTCTGATGAATTACATTCAATGAAGGGTGAAATTGTTGACATTTCCATGAGTCAGCTTGTATACGGATATATAATGTCTAGATGACAATGAGTGAGTTTAAAAAGACTCCAAATATTATTTATAAAATTGCGAAAATGTTCCTCGGGATCCTGATCATTATTTAAGAGTATGCGTAAATGTGTGAGGTATGCAAATTCAAGACATTGAAATGTGATTTGATTCAACAAGTCAAAAGAATAGATTTGATCGATTGAAAGCGATTTTAAATGAATGAATTGATCGATACCATAACTATACGATAGGGAAATTCGAAGCATATTTGATGTTTCAACATCATCTGAGAGACGAATTGAAATAAATCGGTTCATAAGAGATGAAAGATATTGTTGACAAACAATATCAAAGTCATGTTTGGATAAAGAATAAAAATCGAGATGATATTTTTGAAGTTTAATAACGAGAAGTCGATCAAAACGATTGTTGAGACTATGGATGGCACGAAGAAGATTGATAGCATCCAGAAATTCGAATACATCGAGTAAGAGTTCATTAGCGAGCAATTCCAAATTCATTTTTACCTTTACCTTCAAACAGAATAAAAAGATATACCTCTGATATTCTATTCGTGATGCAAGGTAAAAATTGCGTCCTTCTCTCGACTGCTTCGTAAATATTATTATTGCACGTAACATTACTGTTTTCTCTTTCTCTAACATAATGACGCACAACAAAAAGAAGAAAAGTTGCTTGAAAAAATTACAAATGCTCATAGATTTCAAAAGATAACATAATTGGATGTACCAATCACGGGATTGATAATTCAAAAAATTGAGGACAAAATTCCTACTTCAATTCTCGCAAAGAAGATCAATGAGGATAATAACTTGTGATCTAGCCCAGTTGTCATACTAACAGAGGCCTTTCTTTACTCTTTCAATATGTTCGTTTTCGCATGAATGAATCAACACAAAAATAGTTTCGATGAGTTGATATGTACTTCAACATATGATACCATCAGTACTATTCAACAGCACAACGAATAGTGAAAATTGAATGATTAACAATTGAATCATTATTATTAATATTTTAGTATATGTATGTTTATATAAATCGAAAACAAGCTACTTTCAAAACAGTCAATATGAAATAAACGAGAAGATGCATTTCAGACCAACGTCTTCTCTGTAAAAAAGACAGTTGTTAGCGCGATTTCTGTGGGACTAAAACGTGAAAAACAATGGAACTGCTCACATTGGGGTGTGGATATGGATAAAGAGAAGTAAACATCCACACCCAAAATATACTTGATTTTATTTCTAGATCTACTAATAAATAGCTGATATATTCTAAATAAATTTATCATTCATTGGAGAATAGATACATGCAATAGTTCAGTACATTATTATCAATATCTTCTTCCGATAATATTAATATTTAATTGGAATCCACTCCAAGCTTTTCCGATAGTCGTTGAATATTTAACTCCATCTTCCATAAATTATCATCCCCAGAAGGCAAACATTCTGTGTAGATAGCTAATGCTTGTTGATAGTAATCAAGTGCTAACCTAGGTTTATGAAGACCTTCGTAAATATCACCTATTTCTGATAAACTATTACCAATCTTCTCATAATCTGGAGGCAGACATGTGAGATACATTAACAAACAATTCTGTTCATATATAAGAGAAATTTCATGCTGACCTTTTGTCCTTTGTATATGTGAGAGACATGAAAGAATGGTAAAAATGGAGAGATCTTTTGAAGATACACTGACTTCTGTAACTAATAAACATCTTTCCAAATATTTAATAGCGAGATCGAACTGGGATTTTCTAAAGAAGTCACTACAAATCCAAGCTAGGCAATCAGTAATTTCTATATGGTTACTAGGATAATATTCTTCGAATAGAATCAGTGCTTGTTGATAAAAGTCGAGAGATTCATCATATTTTGCCTGCTCATGGAGAGTTTTGCCGATGCCCTTGAGATTGTTCGCAATTTTCCATTGATCAATAGGTGAGTTACTTTTCAGAACTGCTAATGCTTGTTGTTGAAAGTCGAGAGACTCATCATATTTTCGTTGTTCATACAGAGCCTTTCCAATATTGTTAAGAATAGCAGCAATACTAGAATTACTACATGGATTCAATTTCTTTCGAATAGCTAATGATCGTCGATAGAATTCAGTAGCATCATCATATTTCTCTTGACTATATAAGATATAACCAATATTGCTCAGGCTTTCCGCGATATCGATATGAGGAAATTCATAATATTTTTCTCGAATAGCTAAGGCTTTTTGATGAGCTTGAATAGCTTCGTCGTACGTCCTTAGTTCATATAGAATATTACCAATGAAGGTAAAAGTATGAGAAGTGTCGATGTAACCATCAGGATAGAAATTCTCTTGTATTGAAAGTGCTCGTCGATAATAGTCAATGGCTGCATCAAACTTGCTTTCCTCATATAGAACATGACCAATACGATTGATAGTAAAAGCTATGGCAACATTACCCGATGGATAATATTTCTCTTGAAGTTCTAATGCTTTTTGATGATATTCAATCGCTTCATCGAATTTTTGTTGTTGACGTAATGTTGTACCAATATTATTGAGGGTTACTACAATATCTATATGACCACAGGGATAATAGTTCTCTTGTATTTCGAATGCACGTTGATAATATTTCAATGCTTCATCATATTCTTTCTGTCCAAGTAGAATATTTCCAATATAATTGAGATTATTTGCAATTTCACGTTGACGTGATGAACAATAATTTTCTTGTATTTCAAGTGCTCGTCGATGATAATCAAGAGCTTCATCATATTTTTCTTGTGTGCATAACATAATTCCAATGTTGTTCATAAAAAAACCAATAGAAGAATAATCAGAAGGATTATGTTTTTCGGTAATTGCAAGTGCTCTCTGCTGAATATCAATAGCTTCATTATACTTTCCTTGCTCATATAGGACGTCACCAATGCTGGAGAGACTCGAGGCCATTGAAGCATGTCCGAAAGGATAATAGATCTCTTGTAACTTTAACGCTCGTTGACAATAGCATAGAGCTTCATTATATTTTGATTGACGAACTAGTACATCAGAAATGTAATTAAGAGTGTTAGCAATTTTAGCATAATAAAATGGATAATATTTTTCTTGCATTTCTAAAGCTCGTCGATGAAAATCAAGAGCTTCATCATAATTTCCTTGTTCATTTTTGACATAGCCAATATTATTGAGCATACATATAATCTCATCGTGACCAGGAAAGAAATATTTCTGTAGAATTTCCAGTGCTTGTTTATAAAATATCATAACTTCATGGTATTTTCCTTGTCCATAGTGAACATGTCCTATTCCAGAAAGACTATCAGCCATATTGATATGACTATATGCATAATACTTTTTTTGCATTGTTAATGTTTGTTCAAAAATGTTTCGAGCTTCATTATGCTTGCCCTGGATGTAGATAATGTAACCAATCTTATTAAGAGTGGAAGTAATGTATACATGACCTTTTGGATAATATCTTGTATAGATTGACATTGCTCGTTGACAAATTTCGAGGGCCTTATTGTAACTTTGTTGACCTATCAGAACTTGACTAATACAATAAAGACTTACAGCAATATCAATATGAGAAGATTGATAATATTCTTCGAGTATTGTCAATGCTTTTTGATGAAAGATAAGTG